ATTTGACCCGGTGTACAGACCTGCAGTCTGGAGGCAAAGGGCCCACAGTGCACTCAACTGCTTAAGGGCAAATGGATGAAGTCTGTCTCTCTCCTGTGGTTAGAGTCTCTAAACCATGCCTTACTTTAATCTGTCAAACTGTGCCCTGTCAGTGTATCAGAGGCAGTTCCCAACTGGTTAAGCCTTGTGAACCATTAGAAAACACGAGGCCTTTAGTTCTTTTCCCACATTAGGCTGTAGGCATGTCAATCATTTGAAGAAAAATATCTGAAGATGGATAATGGGGCCCTTTTAGCTTACAGCTCTCGAGGTGATCAAAGATAACAATTCCCACTACAGCTCTTTATTCCTATCAACGCTTCAAAGCATCAAACTTCTTGACATGTGAACCTTTGGTGCACACTAATACAAAGTCAAGTCAGATAACTAAAACAATACAAGCGTTTCTTTGCTCTGCTAAATGTTTCAAATCTCTTTAATGCATGAAAAAAAAAGCTCTTTCTTTTCTAGCATCTATTTATTTCATGACAAGTCATCAAATATTGGTTTAAATTAGAAGCTGATATATGTTTCAGGGAAACGCATCAAGTTCTTAAACGGCAAATTGGCATGCAAATTCAGATAAAGTCTGCATTTGGAGTTCAAATGGATTTTATGGTAAAAAAGAAATACAGCCGGAAGTACCACTATAGTGAAAAGACAAATTTAACTTAACTGTTGGCTTTAAACATGAAAAAAATCAAAAGTAAAAGTTAAAGATTACTTTGAAGTATTAAAAATACCATATTTTTCACTGTATAAGTCGCACCTTTTTGCATAAATTTGCAAGTCCTGTGACTTATATACCGAAGCGACTAATATACCCCCCCCCCCCCCCATATTTATAACCCAATTTTTGGCTGAGATCTGACTATTTCATTCATTCTGACATGGACAATATTGAACACTACCATTTTCAGCCACTATAGGGTGCTTGACTAATATAGCAAGCCAAGTGTCTCATTAATAAGTAAAAGTGGCTATTAACGAGACAACTGGCTTGCCATACTATGCCACATTCGTCTCGCTCCGGAACTCCTGAAGCAAACGTCAAATCAGCTGCATTTTGCCGCGACGCCCAGGTGAAATGCAGCTGATTTGACCATTAAAGTGCATTTATTAAGGAAAAGTTCAACTGAGACACACCTTTACTATATTGTTAAGCAAACAAATAATTGTTTTTAGGCAGTTATCTTGTTAAATTTCGATAAAATGCAGAGCGAGTCCTCCCTCTGCGTGCTCCCGCTTCTGCAAATCGATTTTTGAAATGCAGCAGATTTTACCGTCCAAATGTATTTATTAAGGAAAAGTTAGACTGAGACACACCTTTGCTATAATGTTGAGCAAACAAATAATTGTTTTTAAGTGTTAATCTGGTTAAATTATTGTTAAAGTCCTCCCATGCATGCTCCCGCGGCTGCTATTTGGCAGCCTATCGATTTTTGGCACATCACCGGCCCACGTTTCCGGGTTGTCAGCGGTGACGCATAACAAACGTGACGCATCAGCGGTGATGCATAATATTTGCATCTGATTCAACAAAGTGACGTATTTATGTATTTTTCCACTTTATTAGATATATTTGGACTGATACGACTTAGACGGCAGTGTGATGTGTACTGCGGCAAGTACGGTAATTGTTATTGTGATAAAACATGAGTGATATGAAAACAGTGAAATAATATCTCACCTCCTTCAAAAATAAAAAAAAAAGATTTCTAAATCACCATTTAAATGGCTTAGTCCTAGCACCTTTGGAGTTTTATATCACGTTCAGACTTTTTTATTATCCTTTTGCAGGTTCCAGCTGAGTTTCCAGTTTTTAAAAATGATTACGGTGAGGCTGTTTAGTTGGTATAAAACATTCATTATTTGAACTAATATTTTGTATTGAATCTGAATTGATTGTGTCAAAGAATGTTTTCTCTAACAAAAGATTAACCACTTCCATACATATATACATGTTCCCCTCCAGGTATCGAGGAATAAACTATAGTAGTTTGCTATTATAACCAAATAATCCTCTATTGTGTATTTCATACTTCTTGTGTATCCAGTAGCAGAAGGCACAAACCAGACTTAAATAAATATTAAGCTTTTATCACATTTTTATGTAAGTAGGCTATTTTTCACTCTATGGGCTTCAGTTAGATTCATGATGAACAATCGAATGTGTTGTGTTTCACAAAAACACTGATTTTGATTTAGTTCTTCACGTTAAACATTTACCACAAAAACACAAATTAGAAAGTTTCTGCCAAAAGTGGATTCTGCCCATGCAGTGACATGTTGCAGACAGAAATCATTAATTAGAATTGCTTTTAGTGACAGTAATGTAGCCTGAAACTTTGTATTTTTCTTTTGGTAGAGGCATTTGTATTTACAATAATGCCAAACATCAATTCGATTTTACCACTGTGAAAAAAAGTAAAACAATTAGGCACTTTATGAACTCTGACAATTTAGTATAAATGATATTCCTTTTTAAAAGTAGTTTAAATAACTGATTTATGTCAAAAAAAATTATAAAATAACTGAAAATATTGTACTGGTAAATATATAAAAAAAAAAGATTCAAATGCATTTATTTTTGAAGAGATTCAAAGTTCTCTTCTGAAGCCAGTGGTAGACGTCTTTCTGACAGCTCTGTAATGCAAGTTTATCTGTCGAAAAGTGTTTCAAAAATATTTTTTTGGACAAATACATGCAGCAGCTGGCAGCTTACCAGCAGGTATTGGTTTCATACCTGTCAAAAATATCAAGGGAAGACAACTCAGTCATATATTGTATTCAGTTCCAAATAAATTGCAATTAAAATGATTTCTTATGGTTTATCTGAGGGGCGGCACGGTGGCTCGGTTGGCAGAGTTGTTGCCTCTCAACACGAACGTTGTTGAAATGATTTTCGGCCGGGGACCTTTTTGGGTGCTTGCATGTTCTCTCCGTGCATGTGTGGGTTTTCTCCAGATATTCCAGTTTCCTCCCACAGACCAAAAACATGCATGTTAGTCTGACTGGTAACTCTAAATTGTCCCTAGCTGTCAGTCAGGGACAAATGAACTGTTTTTTTTTTTTTTGTTGTTGTTTTTTTTTGTTCTATCTTAGATAAAAAGCTTTTGTCAAAGATGAACAATCAGAGAAGAAAAAAACAAATTAAAGCAATAGTTCTGATCTTTTTGAAGTAGGGTCCAGGAAAAGGGATGAACAAGTAATACCTCACCTGTTGTAGACAGGGCTTGTACATCGTTTAGATTGATCTCCTAAACAGCCATTGTATCTACAACAGGTAAAGGTATTTGTTCAAAATCTTGCCACAATACCTTCTGTGCAAAATATTTGAACTATCTTTAAAAATTATTAGGATTGGTAAATTGAACTTTAGTGCTGACTGAACTCGGCAAGGGCAGCACGGTGGGGCAGTTGGTACAGCTGCTGCCTTTCAGTTTCCCTGGTTCAAATCCCGGTCCGGGGGCCTTTCTGGGTGGAGTTTGCATGTTCTCTCCGTGCTGCGTGGGTTTTCTCCGGATACTCTGGTTTCCTCCCACAGATCAAAAACACGCATGTTAGCTTAACTGGTAACTCTAAATTGGCCCTAGTTGTGAGTGAGAGAGTGAATGTTTGTTTGTCTCGTTTGTCTCTATGTGTCCCTGTGATGGACTGGAGACCTGTCCAGGGTGTACCCCACCCTTGCACAATGATGGTTGGATATGGGCACCAGTAACCCCCACAGCCCAATAAGGAAGAAGCGGGTAAAAGATAATGGATGGATGGAAAGATGAACTTGGCAAAAAGGCCTCTTCTTACTCAGCTCCTGATACCTGGAACACCTTGCAACAAGATCTGAAGCTGTCCACGTTGATTCCTTTAAGGAATTTTAATCATCTCATAAGGTCATTGGAAAAATCAAAGCAAATATGTTCTTTTTTTAGTATTTTACCATGTTTTATATGGCACTTTTTATAGCACCATTGTTTTTAATTGCTTTTATTGTATATTGTTGTTTATTGTACTCTATATGTTCCATCCATCAATCTTTTACTCGCTTCTTCCTTTTCGGGTTGCGGGTGTCACTCATGTCCATATCCAGATCACTGTGCGAGAGGTGAGGGACACCCTGGACAGGTCTCCAGTCCATCACAGGGACACATAGAGACAAATGAGACAAACAACCATTCACTCTCACTCACAGTAAGGGACAGTGTGAGACTCTGCAGCAGACATATGTCTGCTGTTGGCTTTACGTTTTTATTCTTTTATTGTTTCATGCTTTTATTTATTGTAAACATTTATTTTTAAAGGCCGAGCTCAGACACTGTGACCATACGGTAGAACAGATAAAACGGAGTGGATTTATATGACCTCTGTGTAACAGAGCCGCAAAACAGAAAGTCTGGAGGAAGTAAAAAAAACCCAGTGACAACCAGTGTGATACAGTTTGAGCATGTTTTTCTTTGTACATTGTATTCATGCATAGATAGACCCTCATTATCTGCCTGCATAACGCTTTTCATCGCAGACAGCATGTGACTTATCAGAGTGAGCCAGATTTCCAGGAGGCTGCCAGTTTCAAGAGAATTGCCAGAGAGGATAAGTCTCCATCCTCACTCAGCCATCACTCGCTCATACCCTTCTCGCTGTCTATCACTATTAAATACTCCAACAAGCGCACGTATCTGTGGAACAAACCAACAGCTTACTTTAAAACCACCTTCCGAAGGCTGCTTCACCAAGGTTACCAGACAGATAACACCCTTTACTCCAGATAAAGTGTCTTATGATATGCACAGAAACAGTTAAGATGTGAAACACTGCTTGAGGAAGAACTGTAATTGTTTAGATGTGTGGTTGAAAAAGAATTCAAATACAACATTACAAAATATTTAATTGCTGCTGATACGAATAGAAAAAAAAAAGAGAGAGAATGTAGGATTTTATGTGAGTGTCGTGTGTACACTAATTACCGGAAGGTCATTTGGAATATCTGTCCCAAGTTGACTTGCTGCGTTTTGTTGTTGTATCCATGCAGCATCTCACCAAACAGTGTGTCATTAAAGCGGACATCTTGCCTGGGGCATTTTGGTCCCTCACAGTTTTCTGACTGCAGGAGGCATGAGCGCCTGTCTCCCGCCAGCTTGTATTCCTGCACACACCTGAGGACAAGACACAAGGTGTCAATACAATGCAAGATGTTTGAACCCATGTACACTCAAGTTGAAATATCTTTTTTATTTTTTATTTTGGCAAAAACCATTTAGTGAGATCTGAAAGTAGAGACACTGCTTGTAGCCACGTAAAAGGGTCCTATTTATATTACTTAGAACCTGAATGACAAATCACTACTCACAGGTATGCAATGAAACCCACAGCTAACTACAGCTCTTTTGATCTCATTTCATCTGTTCTTGTTCCCCCAGTGAGAAGTACAGTAGCTGTTTTATTGTTAGCAACACTCTGACATCTTCAAGTGCCATGAATCAGAATGTACTTGTACACTCATGGTGTTTTTGTATCAGTAACTGCAGCAATATTAGAGAATTAGACGCAAGTAGAAGAAAAAGCACTTTCTATGACACAGGGAAAATGTTACATTATGTTGTCACCTTATTTATTTTATTTAATTTTTTCAAAATGGCTACACGGAGTTATCATTAATTCCACACTTTCATAAGAGTTATAGCATCAAAAGGTAAACAAATGCAGGATGTTTTCAAACAGTCATTTATTGACATAGAAAATTATTTTAATAGTGTAGAACAAAAGGTTATCTGATCTACAGACCCAGTTATTAAGATTAGCTTGTAATAATAATAATAATAATAATAATAATAATAAAACACTTAGCTCTGCAATGAAATAGAACACAAACAAACTTTTCAAATGTTGCTGGCAAAAAAAAAAAAAAAGTAAACATATCTTTTTTTTTTCCAAGTACTTATTTTCCAAGTCATTGTAGTCTCTTAGTTTAAACATTGGATGTGCTAATCATAGTTCACCTATGATTAGCACAAAGGGTTTTATGAAAATTGCACATCATTGAATTCTGTTTTATTTACAGTTTCCACAACATTCCAACTTTTTTTGGAATTATTAGAGTTGAATTTATGAAAAAGGCTTGCGATAAAATGTTTGAAAGGATGTGGGATTCAACAATAGCTATATTGTCCTAGCTAAATGGCATTGCATACGGCACAATTCTTTCTGAGATGTATTCTTTTGCTGTTGTTGTTTTTCTCAGGTACTTACCTGATGAGCAAGCCCTTCACTGAATCCTCTCTTTTAAAATGTATCTAATAACAAAGAAGTGTCGGTCCCAGCCTGCAGGCATCATTCTTTTTGTTATTATTATTATATTTTTTTACTTTGTTTTCTACAGCTGGTTATTCTCACCCACAAAACATGAGCACATTGTTGGAACTGGGGTCATCTTCGACGGGTACGAGCTGCTGGAGACACAGCTGCTCGCAGCCACCATTGAAGCCATCCGTGCAGTCGATGCCTCTGGAGTAGTCATAGCAACCCGAGCCATCCTTCATTGGCCTCAGCCCCTCAGGACACTGCAGGAAAAGATATTCAAGGGAAGCAGGAGCAGAGATGGAAGGGAGACGGTAAGAAGGTGCAGAAGGAGGGGAAATAATAGATTAGGAAGAGGAAGAGAAGAGTGAGGCGCAGAGGTCAGATTGTGCATTTTAATCAGGAATAGGAGGCAAAGATGATGTGAGTGGAAAGACAAACGAGGAGGAGTAAGGTCTGAACAAAGAAGACATGGGTTTCAAGGAGAAAAAAAAGAAAACTTTTCTTGAATGCAATATAACAAAAGTGAAACTTTTAATATGACAGCAAAATTAATACTGTAAACCAATGGATGGAAATCATCTATACAGTTTTTATACCAAGAACAAAACTCCAAGCTGAAGCTCTCACAGGTGGAGGATGAGAATGGTTGAATATGTATCAAAAAAGAGATGGTTCTTTCCAAGAATAAAACATGTATGCGGTTGAAATACATTTTTTAGGGATGATTTCAAACTACAGGGAAGAAAAAAAAAAACACTTTTCTCTTAATGTGGTGAAATGTTCAGTGTTAAATTTTAAGCAGATGTTTTATCTCACTTCAGTACTTGTATATGGGAAATTACACTGTGAGACTTTTAAACACACTTTTTTTTTTTTAAACAGAATATGCTAGGACCTACTGAGAAATGACTCAGCAGTATCTTTACCATAACACAGGCTTCCAGATTTAAATCACATTTAAGTCAGTGTAAAGACTCAGAACAAAACACTGATGGGGAATAATAGGCTGCAGTCTCTTAACTTTAGATAGGATAATTCACAGTGTAGCTTCTCATTGACAAAGTTTTTATTTTATTTTATTTTTATAAATTACACTTCCTCTGTCTTAAACAGCACTAAATCTGTATGCAACGCAGCAACAGATGCATTATATTACAAACAAGGAGCTCATTAAAAATGCAGTTTTGCCTACAATTAATATCTTGTAGACTTAATAGGCAACTATAATGACTTGGATTGCCTTATCCATCCAAGAAGTAAACAACAGATTACACACAAAACCAAGAGGATGCACTTTTATGCTGGTTCAGCTTATGTGCCAGCAAACAGCTGATGAGAAACACTATAGATATGTGAAATAATACCAAAAGTAATGTCATTGATAATTATTATTAAGATGCAGTCAGGCACATACTGCAACAGTATAATTAATTCTTTGTTTACACAGCTTTAAGTATTATGTTTTGCTTCATTAGTCAAATTGCTGGCATTATTTTCATATTTGAATTGGTTAACATACACTAACAGGATTTTGTTAAATTATTTATGACTTTTGCTTTCTTGGTAAGGCTTTAGCCCACCTGGAAGACTGCAAAATATTCATTCTACCACTACATACATAATGTTACATCCAACAAAGACAATATAATTGGGGAAACATAGCAAATTTAACACTTTGTTCTTCTTGAGTGACCTCATTTCTAAATAAAAGCAAATATCGTCATATAAAGAATACCATTATACCGAAGCTCAAGGTTTTAATGTATTTTTCTTTCACATGTTAGTAAAGTTTCAGGCTGTGGATGTATTGTATCTTGAGTGTGATATTAGATACTAAACAACTACACACTCCTTACTAATACAAAAAGGATAGATGCACAAATAGTGATGAACAGCAGGAAAAAGTATACATCAATCATAAAGAAGGCTCATTTTTGAATATTTGACCGTTTTAGGCGCTAAAGCCGAATCCCGATGGAAAAATTCCCAGAAATCATTGCTGTCCTATAAAACGTGTTGACAATCAAACTCTCCTCCGAGCTGCGAGGGTTTGCTTCTTTTACTTCTTTACAAATGCTAATATAACACATCTGTTTGTTCAGAAGGAGGACTGTGAGGGACATTGGAGGAATTATTTCACAGCTTGCAAAGCACTGTTCAACACATTCCTGACGGGCACTTTGAGTCATCTGTGATTCTTCAAGTTCTGCGTGCCTGCGTGGGACTGGTTGTAGGCGTGTAGTGATATGCAGCTAATGCTGAGAGTTGGTTTTGGTACATTTCTGCAAATGCAAAAGTAAGTATTCCAACTATTTATAATACGTTTGCCAATCAAACAAACACAAAATACTAGTAATTGTTGATAAAATCTTACTTTTGTAACTGACTAAATGATTTCTACAGTGCAAATCTCCAATTTTCAGTCGCTGATTTCACCAGATCTTCAGTTCTTATTGTTTATTAGGTTGCCAAAGCATCCCATCTTATGGCGAATATTTGTTTTCTCTGATATTAGAAAACACAGAGATGAAACAAAATAATGCTACTACTTACGATATCTCTAGATACATAAATTTACAGTTTACAGAGAAGTGTGTGTGGCTGCATGACTGACAGACAACAACTCGAGCCCAGAAGCAGCTCCCTTCACTGGAATGGAGCCAATACGTACAACGTTGTTGCTGCCCAGGATTACAACTTGATGTGAATGTTTTTCCCTTCTGGACATAAGAGAGTGGGAGGTGTGTGAACTTTGTATCACTTTTACTTTCCACAGTTATATACCAGTTTAATCCAGACAATAAGAATTTGGCACTCTATGAGCTGCTGGCCTGATCCGTGCAGACTATCAAGCATCTCAATGAACTGTACAATTATTATTATTATTATTATTATTATTATTATTGTTATTGTTATTATTTTAAAATTTATTCATTTATTTTCCTCCCTGGCTCTTGATCGAGGTGATTGCTTTTGCCTTTCCTCCCCTGTTTTTCCTTCCTCCTTCTCTGCTCTCTGTGTGTCTGAAGTGCCTGGTTCACATCTCCCGAACGTAAATTAAGAAGATTATGGATCTGGTATCCTGGACGTTCAACTCTATTGATAAGATTTTTTTTCAACAAAGCGACAAGGTCCTAGAGAATCTGTGTGACCAGCTGAGACGCATGCTGTAGGGTACGTCATGGACCCATGGGGAGTATGGCAGCTGATGTGCCTCTCAGTCCTGTCTCAGGAGGATGTTGAAGACACTTACATATTTGGATTTATGATAGCAGGGACTCTGCTTTTTGAAATCGGCGGGGCTCTGTTTTATTGACTTTTGAAGAAGACACCGGCAGCAGTTTTGGCCATGGCAAAGCTTCAGAGTCAGTGTGAAGGTTTGGTCCATGCTGTAGGAACTCTAAATCAACTGGTTTATGAGCTAAACTGTAAGGTGGAGGCGATTTATGAGAGCGACTTGCGGCTTCGACTCGTCAGCGTGGTGGGTTCGACCTTGAGGGAGACTCATAGCATGGATCAGTGGAATGGAATCCCACAATTAGGCTATTTTGGAACCACAATGTCCACATGGCCTCAAGGCCAAAGAAAAAAGGAATCTGTCTTCCTGAAGAAAAACAAGAATCAAAGCTTATCTGAACCTGACTCCCGACAGCCTCGGAATGGGCCGACTATCAAATCTCTCCTGGGTCATGAGTAACCAAGGACAAAAGCTTCATCTAACCCCCCCCCCCCCCCAATAACTTTTTGTACAAGCTTATCAGAACTGCTGGCTGAAACAGCATCTTCAGAAACTGTGGCCAATCTGAAAAAACACTCATGGACAAATCTCAACACCTCTACGTTAAATGCAAATGTAATCATGCTTTTAAATGTGCTGCTGGTAGACTTTTTTTGATGACTCAAATTGTGTCCTGATAGACAAGATGTGAAATATCTTTTTTGTTATACCACTATCTACCCTCATGTTTGTCCTCCTTTTCCTATCTAAGATTATTATTCTGAAAAAGGATAAGAAAGGTCGCACTTATAGTAGCAGCTTCGTGCACTCCGTCCATCTTCCGGACGACTGCATGTACATCTTCTCGTTTTATCTCGGTGCAATGATAATAAAGCTTATTCTGATTCTGATTCTTATATATTTTTGTGTGAATCACATATTTCAAATAATAATAATAATTGAAAAATAATAAAAACATTACAAGACAAAATTAGGTTAATTGTGGAATTTTGACAGTAGTCCCTCGCTACTTTGCGGTTCGACTTTTGCAGACTCACTGTTTAGCAGGTTTTCAACCTAAGATTGTACACGACACACGATTGACGGATTGATGGAAGGTGACCAACCAGAGCATTGTTCTCTGTATCCAGGGCACTGATTGGCCCAGTACATATACATATGTTGTTAAAATTAATCAGGTTTAAGAGTTTAGATATTAAGACCATTGCAAGAGAGTGGGAAGGGTTTATAAAACCTCAAAAATATATATAAATACTAAAGTAAATATAACGTCCCTACTTGGCGGATTTCCACCTATCACGGGGGTGTCTAGAACGTAACCCCCACAATAAGCGAGGGAACACTGTAGTTGGAAAAAAGCAATAATTAGAATAATAAGTCAAATTTAACGGTCTAGGTAAAAAGAAATACTAAACAAAACAAGTGTTGAAGCAATATTAACTAATTTCTTTCTGAGGTGAAGTGAAACGCAAACCTACTAATGAGAATTCAAACTTATTAGAAACGTGAAAAGTGCGAAAAAAAATGAAACGCCTTCCCACTTTGAAGGGATTGTGACAGCAGCATCATTTCACTGGAAGGAGATAGTTATGTTGAATGTTCTTTACTCATGTGGGAAAGTGCACCTTTGGCATGCACATTTAAAGGGGTCACCATAAGTACTTTAAAGTCCATGGAGTACTGAAGCAACAGTGGTTTATTTATTTATTTATTTTTTGGACTAGTGGAGTCTTGTTCTTCTTCTTTCTGCATTTTCCTTTTCAGGGGTTGCCACAGCGAGTCATCCTTCATTGTACTGTCTTCTGCATCCTATGTCTTCACTCCAACTACCTCCATGTCCTCTAACTGCATCCATATAGCTCGTTTTTGGTCTTCCCCCATACATTTTTGCTGGTAGATGAATTTCTAACATCCTTCCACCAATATAGGACTAGTTGATTTTTCAGACATCTAAATATGAATACTAGCACAAAGTAGTGAAAAAAAAGTTATTTAAAAAAACCTGACATTTTCATCTTAAGT